ATCATGTAACAAGTTAAACTTTTACTTTATTAATAAAGATCATGAGTAATACCTCACTCTAACATTAAAAAAAAAAAGAATTCAAGGATTATATATAAATTTAAAAATAACTTATCAATAGATATTTTGTAATATATGCAGTTTAGCTTTAATATAAAGTTTTAGAATTTAATGTATTATTATATTTATAAATTAATTAATAAATAAGAATTGTAATTTAATTAGAAGCAAAAAAAAAAATAATAATTAGATCTGTAGATCCATAATACAATAGTTAATACTCTATAACTTAGATTACAAAATATTAATTTAACTTCACATAAGAATAGTTAAATAAAATCAATATAATATTTGATATTATAATCTGTTAAAATATTGTTTTTTATAAAAAGTTGCTTTATATGCTAATCTAATAAGAATTGAGATTGTAATTTTTCAAAAAAGTATTATAGTGTAACAATTATTTAATTAATAAAAAAAATTTTTTTATAGTTTACAAAAAATTTTATTATTAATAATTCTAATTTTAAAATTATATTTTTTTATTATTAAATAATTAACTTATTAATCAAATTTAATAAAAAAATTGATAACAATAAATATAATAATTTGTTAAGTTTAAAATAAAATTACTATTGAATATTTTTTTAATTTATAAATTTATTTATAATTAATATAAAGATTTATATTGTTTTAATATAGTTTTATTTTAAGATTATTTTTTATATTTTATATTATTTTTTAATTAAAAAATATAAATTAAATTATAAATTATAAAATATATTAATTTTATATTTTATTTAAACAATGATTAAACTAATATATAAAATTATAGTTGATATTATATACAGTATATATCTGGTATTGATAATTAGATTAAAATATTTTTTGAAACTTTAATTATTTTCTACAATTTTATTTAAAAATCATTAAAATCATTAAATAATATAACAAATGTTTTATTATTTACAGTATTAAATAAATCAAAAATTTTATTCAAAAACAATTTAAAACCAAAAACCAAAATTTATTTTTATAATATTATCAAATTAATTGTTTTTTGAAATAGTATATTAATTTGATTTTGTATTAATATTTTTGAAATATTTATTTTTTAAGCAATATTAATTATTTATTAATTATTTTATTGAATATTTATAGATATTTATTATTATTCAACTGTTGTACTGATTTAAAATTTCTATTTTAATACAGGTTAAATAATTATTGTAAACAAGTTTACATTTAATTTATTAGATATTAGATATACATGTACATATAAAATACGGTATATAGTTATTTTAAATGTCTAACTTATAACATATGAATAAATAATGAATAATACGAGATAAAAAATTTAATTATTATTATGATATATTATAACGAATAAAACTTAATCACTGTTATATAACCATTATTTTTAATATAATCAAATTTTTATTAAAAAAAAAATTCGAAAAAAAAATATTTAATATATTTTATTATAAAGTTTTTTGAATAATCAAATTAAAAAATAAACAATATAATCTTTGGAATTTGTCAATAATCATTTTATTAAAAACAAAGGACGCATTTATTTTATTAATTAATAAATATTAATTCATTAATTTGAATATTTAAATGTTAATTTATTTATCTATTTATTTGAAAAATCAATACAGTTGTTTTTTAAATTGACATTATAGTTTAATTCATAAAAACAATTTTTTTTAAACGCTATAGAAACTATCCATCAAGTTTTAAACATTGCGTTGTATTGTATGTCTTTGTAAATGTAAATGGTATCGTAATTAGTAAAATTTTTAAATTTTTTTATTAAGATGCAAAGGGTCATTATTTTGTTTCAAAAATAAGATTCAAAGAACCTTTTACATCGTCTGTTGGTATTTTGGTAGTAAATAGATTTCGGATATCTTCGTATCTGTTATTCTTAATATTAACGAATTAAATATTTTTTGTTAGACGCTCGGTAAAAGTTTTTTAAGAATATATTTTCTAAAAAATACATTTTATTGTAATCACAATTATGTCAATAAAACAATATTTGTTTGATATTCACGCACGCGAAATGTATTCTCTTTCACAAATATCCAATTGTAATACAATTATTCGAAAAATCGAAACCTTTTACCTGACAATGCAAGATTTGTTTTATGACTTTTCGATTTAATCAAAATTGATTGTGTGGTCAATTTATCTTTGTAACCCATGATGTCAAATATTTTGTTAGAGAATTATTTTTAGATTAGACGTATGGCAATTAGGGACATTTTTCTTTAATCAAAATTTATTGTCTTACCAATTTTGATATTATATAACGCAAAAAAGGTAAAAACATAAATAAATAAATGCTAGCAAAGTAATACTATAGACCAACATGTTCTTTGTTCAATATTTCAAAATCAAAATACGTAAATTCATGTGGCAAAGGAAAAATAAAAGGGGAAACTCCATTTCGAAGGTGACCAAAATGCTTATCACAATTGTATGACAAATCGTGAGAAAATGCTTTCCATCAAAAAAATATTTAAAAGATGAATTAAATTTCACTTTTGTCCAATCATAAATTTTGACGAAAGATCGAACCGTGGATTTGTGAGACAGTTTCCTTTATCTATGTGATACGATTTTCTTATTATTATCTTAATAAGAAAATGTCTTTTGTGCATAAGTCGTATCTATGCTACTGAGCTGTCGGTTATCATAGTATTACGCATAAGCTATGCTATTTAAGGGAATTTAATTTATAAAATTGCAACCGAGTAACATACCTGGTATCTGCTTCCGTGAAAATATGCACACGCTACTGAGGTTAAATAAAGATCGAGAATTTTCGGTTCATCCTCTGAATTTTGGTTCATGTCATTTAAAATCGCTAATACATTCTAGGCCTTTCATTCCTTCTTAACAAAATTTTTATCGCAATCTTTTGAACTCGTCGATCATTTATTAAATATAGTAAATAGGTCTCCGGGAATTTTTGCCTTTTATACTGTATATTCGGAACAAAAAATTACTTTTTACACATTCTTTATTTTTATGAGAATAGACTTCATTTTACTCTACTGATTATATTTACAACATACATTTTATTGTCTTCGTTGTTCTCTAACGAGTTATCGCACGTTTTCCATCAAAACACTTTTTCCCATCCATCAGACATGGTCTACAAAAATCAATTCTACCAAGCTGGCAATAACAACATCCAATATGACTTTGAAAACACTACGGTTGACAATAATGCGTCCAAAGATCTCTCAAAACCTCTTGGTGGAATTATCATTAAGAACATTCAATGGTGTGTTTGGAATTAGTGTGCTTGAATTATTCGCGACGGTCGACATTAATTTTTTTTTTTAGGAAAATTAGCGTCCTTATGACACCTTTTTTTTTAAAAAAAATCAGACAATTATTTCCCGTCTGCCACCTTAATCAACCTCAACTATCCTACTAATTTCTCGTCACAATTATTTTATCATTCATAGTTCTCTGAAGAAAAAACAAACCGCGAAAATATCAAAGTTAATGAAATCAATATTGAAAGAGAACCCAAAGCTGAGGTTGGAATTTGAATACAACCAGGAGACACGGTCCACTTGTGTACTTGAGATGTAAGTGCTCATTCTTGGTAGATGAAAAAAAAAAAAAAAAATGGCGCATTCGGACTATTTTTAAAAAAATTTTTTTAAATAACAGGGTAGGTAGACCAGACAGGGGTCAAGAAAAATATGGCGCATGGGATGAAAACGTCATATTCGTCGTCACTGCATCTACCCTTAAATCATCAACAAACGCTGATCTATTCATTCGGTGTTGGGATCCGTCGATCAAAGGTCGTATTGGCTGTGTCGGGGAAGCAAAATTGAATCTCGCACATCACGAAAAGTTTAACAATGAAGAAACATATTGTGAGTTGGATTTGGGATACAACGAGTCGATCATGGTTTCATTTTGTGTATACTTTTTTTCCAACGTGAGTATATTATAATTGACACATTTTTTTCGTGTCCGGATTTGGCGATCTCAAATATTTTCTTATTTCGGATTGACCAGGATCCGCCAAGGTTGATGATGCAGAAATTTGATGATCCCAACATTCGTGGTCAAAAAATTGGCGTGATCATGATCAATAAAATTCAACTGTGAGTCTTTCAACTTGCTGAATTTGCCATATTCTTAACGTCTACCATTTTTAATCAAATTCTATTTCGCCTAATCACACTATTATTGTCTTCTTCTCGACAGAACAAATGAAACCCGCCCATCAGGACAAACTGGCTATCTGGAATTCGAGTTGGAACGCGAGAAAGAATGTCATTCCATGAAAAAATACTGGAATAGTACGCAGTCTCCCTGGAAGTATCCTATTACACTTAGCTTCATCGCACGCCATGAGGAATTGATAATAAGGTTTTGTTATGGATCAACAGGATCAACGGGATCAACAGCTACTACAAAGTTTCATATTGGACCTGCGGCGGCTACAGAGGTGCTGTGGCCATCGTTGATGACTGGAAAAAGCGTTAATGGTGAGATTTCTTTATCTGGGATCGATGGATGGTCGTGGTCAAACGGGTTGTGCTTGATTATTGATTTCATTGATCTAACATAGATTTATTGTAAATTTGTTTATCCTATCTCGATAAGTCGGTGAATACACGTTAATGGAGCATGGGCTTCGGGTGGGAAAAGTTCGATTCGAAATCTCATGTCATTGCTTGATTACCTCCGTGAAATTTTACAAAATATGCACACAATACCAAGCTCCACATGGTCAAAAACAATCGATAACGGATAACGACGGATTGAGAAGTGAGGGTGGTGCGGGCACTACGAATGTCTCAAGTGGACAAAGAGTTCAACTTTCTTCTTCACGTCAAAACAACGCTCTTCAAAACATGAATCGCAATCGAAGTTCAATTCAGAACCGGAATCAAATTGAACAACAAAGACAGTTTTCTCCGAGTTCAACGTCACGAGTAGGTGCTGGTGGCGGATTTGCTGTGCAAACGGATCAACAAACGATTTATTCAACGTCCCAGGCAGGTGCCAGTGGTGGATTGAATGCACAAAGATTTGGTGGTTCCTCATCACAATTAAAAGCTATCAATCCCTCATCTTCAACCTTACGAACGTATGTTAGCCGAGAATATAATAATAATGACTACGATCCGCATCCCTACATGAATACTAGCCAAACTCCTTCATTGAAATCTGACGACTCTCATAGCGGCAGGTCCCTGCAAGAATCCTTACCAGAAGCTCCGGAGGTGGTGAATCCACAGAATGGTACCCATTCCCACGGTCATGAAGGGAGGAGTAAAGCTATTCGATATTTGCAGGATGACATTCCAAAGAATTTGCAAACGCAGACATCATTACCATCATTAAGAGGTCGAGATAATTTACCAACTTTGAGCAGTCATGGGTCACATTCGGGTTCAATGTCGACATCAGGGCGGACAGGGTATTCTGGGGGCGCGATCGTAACAGGAGGAAACGGGGGAATAACAGGAACTCATAGAATGTCCCTTACACAATATCCACAGACGCACTTCGATCCCAATTCTCATTATCGAAATAATAACAACAAAGGTACCTGGAGTTCTTAACAATGTGAATCTCATTTTACTATCCAATTAAATCCTTTCTTACATTTCTTTTAAAGGTCAACGACATTCTGATCCTGTCTCTCCTATAAGTTCAAGCTTTACTCTCATCGAAGACAACCTTCCATCGCAATCTTCGGTAGCACGATTTGCACATAACTTACAAGAAATCTCGGGATTTCAACAACTGCACGTTTCCGGATCAAAAGAAACCCTAGCTCCTTCGACCACATCTGCACTTTCCGGAACCAACGAATCCACCACACTAAATTCTCCGGTAGCACAGGAAACTCCCAATTCAGAAAAGCAGCAAGGCGCGGAGACTCTTTTAAGTCGCATAAATTCCCTTGGCTCAATTAACACCACATCTTCCAAACACACCGATGATCAATCCATCTCGGTATCATCATCATTTCTTCCGACATCATCCAGGGAAACATCATCTTTCATTCAGACATCATCTAAACGGAATTCAGAGAATTCTATAACAATCTTTACTCCACACATAATATGCGATCGATATGTTATCACCGCAAGAATTATCGGCAAGAAACGAAAGTCCGTGTCAACACAATCTATCACTAACGTGAGCCTATCGTCTCATCACCAATCTGATTCGCTCAGCTCTCAGTCTAACCCGAGTATGAATAAGTCACCCACTCAATCTACTCCAGAAGCTTCATCTTCATCGCATCACAGTACGACTTCCCGACGAGTTGAACCTCAAGATTCCCAGAGAAGTCAGCTATTTGCTGTTATCAACAGCAATCAACGGCGGCGGACGATCAAACATTATAAAGGTCATGTCGTGAAAGTTCCCGAAAATCTAATAATAATCAAGGTGTTTGAGGATAAAATGAGTTTCGAAAATGAAAATTTCTTCCTCAGAAAATTTCTCAAATCGAAATACGTCGTGAAGTTGATAGACGTGGAGTCGAACGTGATTTTCAGAGACAATGAGTTTGAAGAGGTGGGGAATGAATCCAGTTATTATGATTATGCGACAAACAATAACAGAGAATCGCAAGAAAATGAAAACGAGGGAAGAAACAGTGGTGAAAAGGGGAGAAGCGAATTGTCAAACGGAAGTGTGAACTCGGAATTTGATAGCCATGAGCGGTCAACTTCACTCATAATAACAAAATACCATGGAGAAAGCTTGGAGAGTAATATACATTCGTTTAAAGAAAAACGTGAGATAGTCGCCATTTTTCGAAAAATATGCGAGGGAGTAAAGTGGTTACACGATAACGGTGTTGTGGTAAGTATTGAGTCTTAATCGATTTCCTTTGGTTTCGATATTAAACTTGTTGATCATGCTTTGTCATCATCTTCCTAGCATATGAGCTTAAATCCATCGTGCATACTTTGCAAAGAGACCGACATTTATAATGTTAGATTTTGCGATTTTGAGAATACAAAAGATCTTGATGAACAAGTGTACCCTGAATTTATTTCTTCCTATGTCCCCTCAACGAAGACAAATTCCTTCGCTTCGACGGAAGGTTCTTTCATCACTCCGCCTTCACCCTCCGATTCTTTCATTGATGAAGGAAGTCACTTACCTTGCAATACCACCAGTTCCACATTTCAAATTCAAGTTACAACTACTAGGCACACTACCACCAACTATTCGGATGATCAATCATTGATTAGTGATCATTCAGAAAAAATCAAAGACACACCAAATTCGCAACCAACCATACCTCACTATCCTATTGGATTCACCGGACCGGAAATTATTTTACCACAATTACTACTCGCTTCAAAATCCACATCGAGTTCTCCTGAATTGGTATCATTTCTAAAAAATATACGAGCCCGGAGGTCGGTGGATTGTTTCTCATTGGGTGCAATACTTTATTATTTGTGCACGAAAAAATTATTATATAGTAGCATTGAAGAATTGGAATGGTTGGTGAGAAAGAGGAAACAAAGTAGCGATGACGAGAATGTTAATGATCCCAAAGATTTTAATGACGACACAAACGAAGGTGTGAGGGGGAACGAAAAAGAATACGAAATTAATAGTCTGGCGATCGATGTTGATGAAACGTTGGATGAGGATATTAGAGAGGTGATGTCCATGTGTTTGAAGATAGATGAATATGCGAGATGGAACATTGAAGAAATTTTGGCAAGCAGGCTCATGAATCAAGATTAGTTTCATTGTCTCCACACATTAAAAGGTTTATTCTCGAATGAATTTACCTCCCAAGACTTTTTAATTTGTAGAAATGTTTGTAAAATATCATTCGGCGTCAAATCTGCCTTTATACATAAAGTTTTTTTCATGTACATTGCAATGAAATTATTAATATAACTCAATTAGTTGCGTAACGAATAAAACTTAACTATTTACAGTATTTTAATTATTTAATTATTATTTAAGGTGCCATAAATTATATCTCGGTGGAGTATCGGTACATGAAAAATACTTGTATAAAATATACCAAATCCTATACATACATATTGTACATATTATATTCCCACAATAAATTATTGGAAATTAATTAATCGAACTAGTTTTTATCGTTTATTCTTTCTCCAATGATCTTTTCCAATCGAGTAATTAATTAATGATTTTATTTTTAAAATTCACCATTTTTTTTTAAAAAAAATATTTCCTATTACAGAAAATTCCATTAACTATAATCTAAACGATATTTACTGAAAATTGTTTTTCTTTTAATTGGAATCCCTGTACCAAGAGTATTCCATATATTTTAATTATCGTAAACGAGAAAACATTAATTTTTAAATTATCAACTTATCTTAAATTTATAAACCTAGCAATTAAATTAACAGGTTGCTAATTTATTTTATTATATAATAATTCATATTTTTTTAATAACAACCTTTAATAATCGGATTAACATAGTCAAGATACTTTTTTATTTGGAATTACAAAATTCAAACTGAATACCGTTATTAAATAATCAATATTACTGGATTCATTCAAAAAATTATTTTGTTTTAAACCGTTCATATCAAGTATACTGTAAGTCAAAATAATTACTATTCTAATCTATAGTCTTATTTAAAAATCTAAAAAAAAAAAAGATATTATTATAATAATATCTTTAATGTTGTTTTTTAAAAAAAAAAATCATATAAAAGATTTCATAGTTCCTTTATTATTGTGCTAGTCATTAACAATTGTAATATATTTGAGATAAATGTAATTATTTCAAATATATAATTAATTTTTTTTGATTAATTTATTTAGAAAATTATTAAATGTTTATGAAAGTCCATAAAAATTATATTTAAATATATCTTTTATTAAATCACAGATATTCTTTAAAAAATTTTTTTATTTTTTGATAATAAAATTTATACAAACTCTTTAATATTTTATTTTCTAAAAGTCAATACTTTTTTATTTGTTTACTTTTTTTTCAAGAATTTTTGTATATTTTAATAACAAAATAAACAAAATTTTATTTATTTAATCTATAATAAAAACATTTTATTAAAAAAAAAACTTGCTACAAAAATATTTTATATTATATTTTTTTTAGATTTGTAATTTTAAAAAATAAATTATTAGTAAATATATATTTTTAAGTTTTATAAGAATATTAAGTTACTACAAAAACTCTCTCCTAATCACGTCTATTTTGTTAAAAATTTTCTTTTTATAGTAATTTTAAGCAAAAAAAAATGGTTTACTCTCTTTATTACAAGTAAGCTCTAGCTTAGGAACTCAAGAATCTTCAAGACAAATGATGCAATGGGATGAAACCTCTGGTCAAAGTCTATTCAAGTTTGGAAATCTTGCTTATCCTTTGGTTACATGAGGAAAGGCTTGTGGCAGTTCTCTTTTCTTTAATTCTCTTGCATTCCTTCTTACCATTATTCTATTATAAAAATCATCTATATCATTATTATTATACTCACTAAACCAAATACTTTTCAAAACACATACTCAAACAAAGTTAGTGGGTCTACTGTTTGTTTCAAGTCAACTCTTATGCACAATATTTTTATAGCAATATTTGCTACATCACTTTTATCCTCCAAAAATTTCTTATTCAAAAAACTGAAATCAGTTTATCCCTTTTGAATGATCAGCACTCTTTAATTATCCAATCAGATTTCATCTAATGATCAAAACAAAAACCAAACAAGCTTAAACTGGTTTTGTATCACAATAATTATCACAACAATAATAACAAATAACTTATCACCAACAACCATAACAATAAACAATATCATGTGTACTCTAAGATTTATAGCATGTGAAATAATAGAGAGTTGGGACTATGAGCCTGTAATGGTTTCAATAAAGGAACATGTTGGTCATTAATAGTTTGTCATTATTAAAGGAAAACTTTATTAATGGAGAGTGGAGCAGACAACTCTAAAGATAATTAAAGGAAAAATACAACCTTTAAATACATGTTTTTTCAATATAAATAAATAAAATACATAAAGAATAAAATACATATAATCTTAGTGATTCTCCTGGAAATCATATGCATTAATAAAGAAAAATAAAATAAAATAAGAAAATAAATGAATAATAGTGTTAATCAAACATATTAATAATATCCTATAACTTCTTGATATCAATTACTAATTGATAACACATGTTTAATTAGTGAAATTATGTTGAATTAATAATCACTATAAGTTTCAGATTTCACATCACTCCGGAGCTTCAGGATCAGTGGATATCATGTGACTTCGGACATGTGTTTAAGTCTAATCATTAGTATTCTTCGGCCAGAAGTCTAAATCCTTAATTATTGAGAATTGGTGTTAACAATGTCTTTTCAACCATTAATAAAAGATGTTCCTCTCATCAAAATATCCATAGTCTCTTAAGATTGTTTGAGAGATTGTTACCTGACTTTTCGAAGAAAATCTGAATTTTTGCTAGGCATCTATAGATTTGTTACAAACTTGCAGATTCACATTTCACCTTAAAAAAAATGTTATAATAAATGAAAGGAGAGATACAAGAGAACAAAAGAAAAAAGAATTGTTATAGGCCTTTCCTCATGTAACTGAAAGATAAGCAAGACTTCCAAACTTAAATAGATTTTGACCAGAGATTCCATCCTACTGCACCAGTTGTCTTGAAGGTTCTTGAGTTTTTGAGCTGGAACTCACTTGTAATAAAAAGTGTAAAACATTTTTTCTTGACAAAAATTACTATAAAAAAATTTTTTTAACAAAATAAACATGATATTAAATACCCATCTTCTTACGTTTAATATTCTTGTGACGTGTATGTATCCTCTTTCAGTTTTTTCTTGCAGATACTGCCTCACTTGTTGACTCCTTTCTATAAAAAAAGTAAGTAGAAAATCAAAAATATACAGGAATGATTGTATCAAGAATATACCTGACAGTCTCTATCCCAATTAAGTTTCGGAGACCATGATCAATTATTAGTGACCACACATTAATGTCATGCCAAGATTCAAGATGTGATTTATGCAGTACTCCATTGAGATCTTCATAATCTGTAAGGCTTTATTATTATTATTATTAAAGCTCTCACAACATCACAAATAAGAAACATACTTACTACTTTCTCATTACTATATCTACCCATTCAGCATCATAGTGTTTCTCTCGGTCATAAGGCTCATCCATATTTCGGTAGGATGTTGTTTCTAGGATGTGTCTTAGCTCACTTGTAGTCTTAACCTGATGTTGGCAATATTATAAATAAATTTAGATAAATTGAAAAATGATCATATCTTCAACTTACATTGGCAAATCGCATCAATGACTCAACAAAGGTTTCGTCAACCTTTGGTAACCTTCTGATTTCACTGCGTATTTCTTTCCATTCTTTAACTGTAAATAGTGCCTCTGCCTCCTGATCATCCAAATCAACGATCCATGAATGTAGAAGTGATTCAGCTGATAATTTACTGCAATGCTCGAAGATAGCATCCTCGACGCACGTTCCAGTTGATAGAATCCATTTTTGAGTCTTTTTCATTTTTGCGTAGGATTCATCAAAACACTTGAACTGTGATGATGTCAGCAATGGTGGAGGATTCTGATCCTCATTGTCACTTGTAATATGAACAGAAGTTATGAACCTATGCAAAAAATCGAAGAAAAAGAATTATTATATGATACCTTGGTACGTAATCTGAATCTTCCTCCTCAGATGTAGGGGAGCCTTGTGCTTCATCGAGCTAAAAAGAATATCATCAATTAGCAATTATCAGTCTTTAATTGCTATTAATGATCAGAACGTCGTAATAACTGAATAATTCTCTTCAATATGAAACTGTACCTTGTCTTTCTTGTCATCCGTTTTGTTGGCAATGCCTCGTTCACTGCTTAATTTTCGCCATTTCTTGATTGAGTTGTCCATTTTTTTCGAAAATAGATTGGACGATTTTTTTTCGGTGGGACTTTTAAAGAACTTGTCGATCTCGTCGCTTTCATCATTATCATCCTGACATTGAAACACAAAAATTGTTTTTTTTTTTGTTCTAATATTCTAGAAAAGATGCAAATGTATACGTTTTCTTAAAACCACCAATAAAAATTTACCTTGGGCTTGTTTTGTTCGAAGATAAATTTTGATACTCTTTCATTTACCTCTTCACAATTATTGTAGCTATTACGAACATATCCTCCATGAAACTGTACTGATGTTTGAAGAGTGTGAAGACCTTTGTCTGTCACTAACTTCGTTTCAATCTATGATTTTTTAGAAAAATTAATAAATACGATAAAATGAGATGCGCACAAACTATACCCACTTTCATACGATCAAGAATAATCTCTCTCTAATACAAGCGGTTATACTCAGAATTAACCTCGAAATTAAGCAATAATAGAAACGTTAGAAATCAAACATCATTGGAAAAGATAAACATATCAACCAAAAATATGAGAAGACTCGCAACCAATGACAACTAGGTAGTCACCTAATGCCCCTAAATCAGGTAGTCAGCTGTTTGGAGTGTCATCGTTGGTCACTCGAGATAATGATAACTAGGTAGTCACCTAATGCTCCTAAATCAGGTAGTCAGCTGTTTGGAGTGTTATCATTACCCCTCGGAAAAAGCACCGGAAAAATATACCTTGGATTGCCCGTATAAACCTCCTCGTCCAAGCTCCATCAAGAGCGTGCCAGTCGTCATGGAATGGAGGGGCTGTAAGAATTTTATCACGGTAAAGCAACAGAAACTGGGAAAGGGACCATTCTTCCGGTTTGTGACTATCTAAGTATTCAAGAAGCTCTGCAAGTCAAAGTAGAAGAAATATAAAATTAATAAAATACACGTTCAAAAAAAATATTGCGACATGATACCGTATGGGCAGGTTGTTGATCAGTCGATCTATTTTTTTTTTACGATTATCACATTATCACGTGCTGGAGGTCAAGCGATATTTTATCGTTACCGTTTCGTTATTTGCACTACCTAGCTATTCTCCTTTCCTGACATTTTATTTTTAAATAAAAAGTTATGAATACAAAATTTCACACGTTACAAGAAATGTTGGCAAGCTGTTGATATACGAGTTGGGATATAAACTACCTAGAAAATGGCTCCCTATTGTCTGACGAAACAATGGCGATAGGGCGTGGTGTGCTTTCGGTACTTAAGGGCACCGAGAATGCGGCACACCTTGGTACTGCGTTATATTGGGATAATGAAGAGCATGATTTTTGGCTTCGGTGTCATTTTCTTTTTGGGGTTTGTAGGACACCTTTGGCCTAGTCTGAAAAGCAACTTCTTTCTTTAAATTTCTTTTTAGAATCAGGACAGGTGACTCGATATCCATTGAAATCTCTATTATCATTAAACAAGGGTGACTCAAAATATAACGATGGTGATTTTGACGTGAGCCTTGATTTGGCGGAAGAATGTATAGTAGGTCGAGAGAAACAAGCAAGGTTTGACAAGGTTTTGAAAATTGATTTTAACGGCGATGGGAAGAAAGACGTGATCATTGCTTCAGAGCATTCGAGTTCAGTGGCTAGGTATGTCGTGTGAGAGGTGCGAATACATCCGATGACCGAGGGTATATAGCCATTTACATTTACATTTGCATTTTGTGGAAGTATTACGATTATATTGAGTTAAAGTCCAATAAAGACGTTTCCATCCGCGGTGGAATTTAGCGTGAAGCCTACTATCGGTTAATACTTCCAAGTGGAACTAAACGTAGAATTTTATTTATTGATTGAAAGCATGAATTTTTTTTGTATTATACTCTTATCTGTATTATTGTATTTACTACCATGCTAGGGTATTTTATATATTAAAATTTATTAAATATAAATTTTTATTAAATTGGATTAAATTGTATAAAATTATATAAAACTAGATAAATGAGAACCATTTAAAGTCCGAAGGACTATCGCTAACACATGCAACAACATCCCCTATTAATACATTCCTTGGTGCACTCTTCATCCTCTATCGTTTAAATCAGCTTATACAGTAAATACACGATCGTATAGTTTCCTGCACTCATCACATTACCATAACTATCAATCGCTATTATGCCAAAGATTTTTGTCGTGATACCTATGTATCACGTGATTGGAAGGTACACACATCCATGGCTGTACATTAGAGTGTCCTTTGGACAATTATATTAAACTAGGTGAATGGAAACCATTTAAAGCCCGAAGGACTATTGTTAACACATGCAATAACATCCCATATTTATACATTCCTTGCTTCCCCCTTCATCCTCTTTCATTTAAGTAAATCAGTAAATACAAGATCGTATAGTTTCCCGCACTCATCACACTACCATAACTATCGATCGCTATCATACCAAAGATTTTTATTGTGATGCGAAAATATACCATGGAATCGTGACCCAAAAATCTAACTCTAAGGACATTAATTGTATTAACTGTAGATGAGTTATACTGTATAATAAAAAACTCGTTAAATTAATATTCTTTTTATCACGTGATCGGAAGGTACACACATCCGGATCACTATTGCTGTACAGTATCCGCATAAAGTAACGCCCGATTTTTTTAAAATCAAAAAATTTTTATTTACGTACGATTTACTATATACAACAGTTAATATTTTGTCGCCTGTCCATTTGCCTCTAACACCACATTTACCCTTCTAGGCATGGAGGCGACAACTTCTTCAAGAATAGAATTATTGAAATTTTCCCATTCTTCTTTTAATACAGTTTTTAACTCATTAATTGTTTTTGGAAAATTTTGATGCCTCTGAATTTGATTCTTGAGCAATTTCCAGATATTCTCTATCAGATTTAAGTCAGGTGAATTGGCTGGCCAAGTTAAAGTTTTAATTTTTTTTGTCTTGAACCATTTGCGAGTGATCTTTGCTATGTGTATCGGCGCATTATCCTGTTGAAATGTTGGTATTTTTCCCACTATTTCTTTCACACATGATACAAAAGAAGATAAATTCTTATCTAGAATACTAACATAAACATGTGAATTAATTTTTCCACCTTTTTTCTTATTTTTGTCACAAAAAATTAAAGGACCCTTTAGTCCTTTCATGAAACATCCCCAAACTATTACTGAACGTCATTCACTTTTGAAGGTATGAGTCAAACAATCTTTCTCAAATCTTTCCCCTGCATATCTCCAAATTCTTATTTGTTGAGATTGCTTACCAATTTCTACACTACTTTCGTCAGAAAAGATAATATTGGCCCAATCATGAATTGTCATATTTTTGTGATTTTCATATCATTCGATACAAGCGTTTGCATGTTTTTCTGAGATATAGGGTTTTTGAGTGGCAACACAAGAATAAAGCCTATAACCATGGAGTATATTTTTAGCAGTTGACAAACTGCATTTAAGTTTCAGTTTGTTGATAATATTGCATAATAGTAACCGTCGTTTATTCATGACTTCATAGACCAGTATGCGCTTTTCTAAGTTACTAAGAACAGAAGGTCTACCTGATCGTGATAGATTTTTGGTACATCTTGTTTTTTTGTATTTTTTGATAAAACGACATACAGTAGTAGGGTCTCGCCTGACTTTTTTCGTGATTTGTGTAGGGTTCAAAATCCCCCAAAAAGCAAGAATTTTGCTCTTTTCTACATCTGTCATTTGAGTACGGGTAAATATTATTTTAATACAACAGAGTGATACAATGTCTGTAATATCAAAAAAAAATAAACAATGTGATTTTATATTAAAATGAGAAAAAATTACACATGTAACTATTGGTATAGTTATACATGCAAATCAGGCGTTACTTTATACAGGTACTGTATATTAGAATGCCCTTCGGACAATTATGAATATAAATAATAGAATGCTTTCTTGGACTATACATCAAGATTAAATATATTAGATTATTTGATATATTAAAATGTATTTTTTTTTGGCTTGCTGGTATAGATAGATATACATGTTGCGGAAATTCGTAGATTCTTGACGCAATTGACACAATTATTTGATGCAATTAATTGAGTCACTATTAAAACATATAAATAATTGAGTCATGACACAATTATTTTTAAGGATTTTGGGAATTGAGTCAACAGCAAAATAATTTACGCCATATGTATATAGATAGATCTTTATTTGACTTTTTAAAAATTTGTAAAAGATATTATAAGAGGATTACTAATTTGCTAAAATCTATTTAACAAGTTTCTTGTATTATTCAATAAAGAAAACCTAATAAGTGGTTTTTTAATTGCTTAGCAAACATAAAAAATTAATAGTAAAGAAAAATAAATATAATTTGATATAATGTATATTATTTATGTATTATAAAAAAGTTTTTGAAGAATTTGCAAACTAATATTATATACAGTATACATATATATACAATCATGGCAAAAAATAATGACAGTCATGTTTTCTCACAATTTTATTGTTATATTAATTTTTTTTTTAAATTAAATAGGTTCTAAAATTTATGAATAAATAATCCAACCAATTAAAAATATATTTAAGTAGATCATGTGAGGTTATTCCTATTTGTATCACTTTTTTTTTATAAGCTTACTAATGACAATGATTTGTAATAATTGCCAGATAGTGAAGATTTTGTGACAAAGTGATATTTGCAGTCCAACTGAAATTTTTCAATGAAGTGGTATTCCCTTGCACTCCTGTGAATATTATGTCTTCTCCTTAAATAAAATCGACTATATCACCATCCTGACCATCTACAAAAAACCAGTTCTGCAAAGTGTTATCAAATTGAACAAATTGTTAAGAATTACTTTTTTGTAATAGTAAGCAAGATTAAAGCCAGACTCGAGAAAACAGATCCAAACTATAAGATTAGTAAATATACTATATGTATTGAACTTAAAAAACTTGGATTTATTTATAGGCTTCCCAAACGTGTCTCTCTTTTTACAGAATGTGCTAAAGAAAATCACTTGCAATGGGTATAAGATTATCTTCATTACAATTGACATAATATTATATTTTTTGATAAGACAACACTGCAAATATTTAGAAATACTTGCTTTATGTGGTTTTGTAATGAAAATTCTCAAAAACCAATGGTTAAGCATCCCTTTAAGCTGCATGTTTAGGCAGTGATCAGCAAATGTGGAAAAATCAGTTTCAAAACATTTATGGAAAATTTAGACTGCCATCTTTATCATGACATATTAGACAAATACCTATATGATAATACAACAAGTCTATATAGAAGTCATTGGATTTTTCAGCAGGACAATAATCCAAAACATACCTCCAAGGATGTCAAAAGTGATCTGCAAGTCTGACTTTTGTCTCGTGTTCTGCCATGGCCTTCATACAGTTCAGATCTCAATCCTATTGAGAATATTTAAACATTTTTAAAGCGTAACATAGAAAAAAGAGTAAAAAAAGAATAGCTAAAAAAAAAGAAGTGTCTCAAAAGATTTTTATTAAATTAGTAAAGGAAGGATATGAGAGTATTCTGGAAGCGATTATTCTTTCCACAATTCAAAGCATGTCCACCCATATTCAAAATTGTATAAATATAAGAGAAAATTGTATTAATTACTGATTTTTTTTTTATTGTATTACATTTAAGCTATTTTTTAAAAAAAAAATTCTTTAAATTAATATTTAAAAAACCACATAATAAATAAAAAATCATCTGCCATTACTTTTTGCTGTGATTGTACATTTAGTCTACTTTGTTAGCTAATCCCTACTGAACTTTTTAAGACATTGTCACATATACTTAACAAGTATTATATATATATGTTGTAATGGTGATCAGCGAGTCTATTGCTAATGGGAAGTTAAATTCGCATAATGATAGTAAGTGTTTATGATAAAGTGAAATTGATTATGACCAAGAAAATAATAACTTTTTTTTCTTTATTTAATGCTCTCTTTTCTTTTATATATTTTTACAACCTCATTACATAATAAAAATAATAATTACAAATTAAGTAAAACTATGAAAAATCTTATGACAAAACATTTGTTATTTGATTTTCACACTACTTCTATTACATAATCTCATTAATTGGCCTTATAGTGCCATGTTCAATCCTCACATAACTCGATCACATGGAGCTATTGCGATTGTGTCGTGATTTTTCTTTCTTTCTCCTTTTTCCAAGCTTATGCTCATTTCTATCATACTCATTGTACTTGCTACTGTAGTCTTTCTTCCCAACATCGTGGAAAAATCCAGAATTCAGTATAAGTCACATCACTCTTTTCTATATTACAATGTTTATAGTTAACTTATCTATATATAACTAATTATATATTATTAACTTAATATTATATATACAGTAATTACTGCTTAAACCTGAATAATTTATTATGTCATTTTATTTTTAAAAAGATGTGCGAATCTGTTTTAATTTTTTTCAAAACAATTTTTTTTAAGAGTATTCTGATTATCTACTATTAATTACAGTATCCTGAACCCTGGTTTTCAGTTTTTCGAAGTGATCCACAGTTTTCACCTCCCACCAAGACCTTCTGATAGTAAAGTTTGTAAAATCTGATATAGCCAAATACTTGATTAGTATCTTTCAATGCAACTGTTAGGAGTTCTTCAACAGCACTCTAATGGTTTGAAATCTACTTTTCTTATTACCTTTTTTGGTAATGTGATTGTGTTAGGGATAATCATAGTCAATTTTCAGATGATAATTATATCACAATCTTCTTATAGACCAGTT